ACCACATTTTTAATATATATATATATATATATATATATATATATATATATATACAATAGTGGTATTAAAATTAATGGTATTTTCAATTTTCAATACCATACAAAACCAATATATAAATAACAAGTACATTTATAAGGCTTTGGCTTTTTTCCCTTTTTTTTTTATCATAGACACCTTTATATGTCATTGATCCGGAAATGTTTATGAACTCATTCAATATATATATATATATACAATAGTGGTATTAAAATTAATGGTATTTTCAATTTTCAATACCATACAAAACCAATATATAAATAACAAGTACATTTATAAGGCTTTGGCTTTTTTCCCTTTTTTTTTATCATAGACACCTTTATATGTCATTGATCCTGAAATGTTTATGAACTCATTCAGCTTTTTACTACCTACTGGGTTTACTACCTAAAGGGTGTAAGTAGACATTGTTAAATTATCTCCATTGTGTTATGCTTGTGTCTCTATAGATTTGCTGGCCAGTCTGAATGGCTTCGTCCAGACTCGAGAGGAAGATTCAGCTATGACTTCATGAGCACACCTGACACACAGATTGAGGAAGTGGATCTGAGTGGCACCCTAATAAACCATAATGGACTTGAAAACCTTGGTAATCAAAGGTTGTTTTATATAAATGTACACTTGTTGCATGAACTATCATGCTTCTCCAGATGTCTAAAGCCTTTGACCAGTCAAGTATGAAGTCTTTATTTGTCTTTATCCCGCCAAGCCAAATTTTATTCTTGTCCCCATCTCGTCTGTCACAACTCATTTTGTGAGTTCCAAATCAAACCCATACAAAATTATGTTTTTCTGTGCCACTGTGGATTCCATTTTCTAAAACTAAAAATGTAAACAGCTTATTCTGCTACCCTTGGTCTCTCCTGGTTTATTGCTTATAGGAGCGCAAGATGACAACGGTCATTTCTGGGGCATTTTGGCTTAATTTGTCTACAGTGGAAGTAAATAAGAGATGTGTGCCCATCTTGTCCACAGAAGCATAGACCAATTTCAGTGTTTGCAAACAGTGATGACGTTTTTGTGGGCGGAGTCTATCTGGTGGCAGAAAATGCCCGTTTTAAAGTAGCATTCTATGCAAGCCATGGAATAAAAGAATAAAAAAGGTAAATGTTGAGTTTTTATTTCAAAATTCTGACTTTTTTTCTTGCAATTCCGAGATTATATCTCACAATTCTGATAAGAAAAAAAAATCATTCTCTCTTTTCCCCTCGGCTCAGAATCATGAGTTTATATCCCACACTTCTGGCTTTTTTCCCCTCAGAATTGGCAAACTCGCAATTGTTGAGGTAAATCAAGTTATAAAGTCTGAACTAGGTGATTTAAACTTGCATTTTCGAGGAAAAAAAAGTCAGAATTGTGAGATAAAATAGGTTGGCTAAATGTAATGTCAACACTGTAAAAAATAAGTGTAATTTTAACTGTAAAATTTTGTAAAAATGCTACGGAAAAAAACTGTTAATAGGTTAACAGTAAGTTCCCGTACTATATACAGGGAAAAACTGTAAAATATCTAACCAGATATTTCATTTAATTTTACAGTAAAATGCTGTTAATTTTACAGTTTTTAGAAGTAAAAATAACAAATAAACAAAAAACCTGTAAACTGATATTCCCAGAATTCCCTGCATGACACTCCACATTTGAAAGTATTTTGTTTAAATAATCATGTTTTTTTAATAGTTTTTGTTATTAGTTATGTATATTTGGGCTTTATGTTACATCTTCTGTCGTTTAATGAAAGTTTAATGCATTATTTAAGTATCATGTGTGTTACCATGATGGTGTTTTGTGTTTGCATGAATGACTCTGTGAACCTTCTATATATTAGTATATACTTCTGCTTGTGGCGAAGCTACTTGTGATGAGCTTTGATTCTTCATGTGGCTTTCTCTTTTACCACCTGCATTATTATGGTGGTTGTCAGTATGTTAAAGGTACAAAACAGATTTTAATAGCAGTGTGAATTGTTGAATTTACTGGTTTACATTCAAATTTTCTTGTTTGTAAATTACAATTTTATACTGTAAAATTTATTTTTATACCGTAAATGTGTTTACAGTTTTTCTGTATTTTTTACAAAATTATTCTGGCAACCACAGCTGCCAAAATTATTTTGTAAAAACTACAGAATTTTTTTTACAGTGATATTAAAGGTTACTTGAAAAATGACTTGAAATAAACAACTTTGGTCATTTTCATAAAAGAAACTTTAATACAAACTATATAGACATTTCTTTAAATAAATAAATATGTAAATAGATCAAAATAAAAATAAAATCTAATTCAAAATATTAACTGTAACAGTGTAGTAACAATGATGCTAAAATAACAGTCACAGTAAAGAGTCACAGTGTTTACATTCTTCTAGGAAGTCAACACTAGGAATGCCTTGATCCACAGCTATATCTTCTAGAAGCACAGACACTACTGACCTGTTAAACTGTTATGCTTGTAGCTGTATGTCCTGTTGTTCTCGTAAACTTAGAGGCAGCAAAGTGCACATGACAGGCTTCAGATAACACCCTTAAAAAAGGAAACTGTTAGAGACTGATCTGAAGACCTCCTGACCACAGCTGTGTGGGACTCCTTGAGCATCTCTCAAAGAGCGAGAGGGAGTCTGCGGTACTGAGACCAAATAAACCCGGGTCTTAAGGCCACAGGCGTTCTCTTCTGTGAAAAGCGAGCTAAAATGAATGCTGGCAGTGAAAAACTCAGCCACTCTATCTCAGTACTTCACTCCCATCCTCCCCGGCTTGAGATCAGTGTGGATGCTTCCCTCTAGCTCTTAGCCTGCTCTCTCATGTCTAAGCCTGCAGTGCTGCTGTTCCCTCGCAGATACACCAGCTGTGACTCTATCAA